GACTCAAGAGCATCTCAAACTTCCTGAAATCAACCAGGTTTGTTAGGGCTCCTGACCATTTGAAAATCACTAGTTTTGTAAAAGTCTGATACAATAAGTATGTATGAACACTAATGGAACTGCTTATCAATTTTTTTAAAAAAAAATGATACCCACTCCAGTTTTAAAAAGTTCACTCATTACCAGTTGTTATTTAAATTTACATAGGTGCTATGGCTATGTGTAACTCAGTGGTCACTGTGTACATAGCATACATAAGGCCCTGAATTCAGGCCCTAATACAAAGTAAGAAAAGAAGAGAGGACGAAGGGGAAAAGAAACATGTCTATAGATAGATATTTTAGTTTCTTTACTGACACAGTGTTTATGTTTCTCACATCATAGACTAGCAGCAAGCAGACACTGCTGTACGGAACCAGGCAGTGTGCGGCACATGCTCAGTGCACTCTTGACTTATTGCTACTTGCAGTCAGAGAGTTCATTCTCTAACATAAACAACTAAGCAACCTTAGGAACTGGCCATGCCTTTTTGGATTTACATTGGCAATGGGCAATATCAGGCTCAGATCAACATGAACAGAGAACCTCTCTTTGTTCCCTCTTCCCACTCCAAACTATTTCTCAGGCAAAGGAAAAATTAGTGACCATATTTTAAAACTGACAGGGACAATGGAGCAGACACCCATCTGTTCTTTCTTTACCCAGGGTCCTTCGTACCTTGCCCCCTAGTGATATAACTTCCTCCTGGTGAAGTGTGACTGTCCCCTGGCTCCCTAGGGCTCCCCTGGGCTGCAGACCACCATATTCCCAAAGCACGCATATGCATCTAAGGGAGTGATCCTGCAATTGAAGAGTTTGAAAGTAAAGCTTGGGAAGTCATAATCTTGAAATTTGAAATCAAAGACTCTCATTTATCTTCATTTTCAGAATGAATGATTTGATCTGTGAGCTAGAAAAATCTGAAAGAACAAGCCATCCTCAGACAAGGAGACTTAGTTTGAGCAGTCAAACTAAGTCAAGAAAGCATTTGTAGCAATTATTATCTGGAAGCTGAATGTCAGTCACTTCAGCTTCTAGAATGCTCTAGAAAGTCTTACTCACCTTTTGTTCCAGTAAACCTGTACATTACAGTAGGATAGCCTTATGACTTCCCTGCTGTAGTTTTTCCTCAATTTCAAAACAATATAAAGACTGCAACCTGCTATCTGTTTAGGTCAGAGGTCACTCTTCCCATATGGGTCATAAAAGTAGGTCAGGGTAACATGACCATTTATTAGTCTCTCACTTAGATTGCTGCTCTGAGAATTCTTTGAAAATTTACTAATGTAAAAGGGGACATAAGGAATTTCATGATAGTCACACTGATAAAAGCAGAAGTCTACAGGTTTAATGACAAGCACAGCACATCTCCCATTAGTACTTAGGGTGATTCAGGTCCAAGGCTTCCTACAGGACTTTCCCTCTAGGTCAAATATGAAGAAAGGATTCAGAACTAAAAAGAGGGTATGTTACTAAGTATGATAATTATGTGGCAGAGTGCCCACCACTGTGAATAGTAAGTCACACAAACCTTCAGAAATGGTTGCTTTAGAGTTTTTTTTCCAATTAACCTGACATATATACGCAAAAGTAATCTTACGGAGGGATTTAAATCTTGTAGTTATGTAGATGTCTGATCTATTAAAGATAAATATGTAAAGGGATTTCAACTTTTCTCCTTCCTCTTGACAAAAATGAAGTCCAAAAGAATGTTAGTCTCATTATGAATACTTTAATGGCCAATAAAGGGCTAAAAGAAATGGCCCTGATAAGACTCGAATGTAGTAATGGATATTCCTATCCGCACACAAAGGATCAGTCAACACTTATTTCTATTACAAGTCAGTGTTACTGTTTTTCTCAGATGTCTTTTTGGAAACAATCATATTTATCCATTTCCCTAGTAACTAACATAGACTTACAGGCTAATGAATAAGGGATTAGCATGACAGGCAAATTACTGGGGTTCAAAATCTGTTTCTATAACATATTTACTTGTAGAGAATGACCTTAGATTTTACTTCTCTATCAAATTGAGAAAACAGGAGCCTCTATCTAATGAAGTGTCCACAAGCACAGCATAGCTGGCCTCCTGGCCAGTTCCTAGAGCATAGCATGATGCTCAGTGAGCTCCAGTATCTGCTGTTAGCTTTATTCTAAAGCTATAATGGGGATCATGGCACTAAACAGAAACTAAAATGAATATACTCTTAACCCTTAGAGGAGATTTCCCTCAAGGGGATGGATGGAGAAATCAAGAGAAAGGAGTTCTCTGTTCTATAAGGAGTCGCCAGGCAAGACTGCAGCAGGGAAATTAGGATTCAAGGAGATCCTGAAAAGAAGATAAGGCTACTGTTAGGCTAGAGGAAGCCACTGAGGTATTGTAGAGAATTGTGAAAGGGGAAGAGAGCCCATCACTGTAAGGGTCACTGCATCTGGCCTAATCTGGCTAGAAATCAGCAATAAGGATTAGTGGGGAGGAAGTGAGTGGGAAGGCCTGAGTCTCTGAGTGATGTGGACCTTTGTGACGGATGGCCCAATGGATGTCATGGACAGTAAGGTGGCAGGCAAGATGCTGTAGATTTGACTCATTATTTCACCAACATCTCATAATATGGTCTTCATATTTATTTTTAAAAATTGGCTAGAATGTGCCACTCAGAACGTTGGAGAGTGAATGGGGAATGCTTACTTGCAGGGTGGTTCTGTACTTCAGCTGGTGTAGCAACACTAAATGAACTACACTAAAATGAAAGATGACCTATTCTCAATTACACTCCTGCATAGACCAATGGTGAGGGTAAAAATTATCTCTATCTATCTATCTATCTATCTATCTATCTATCTATCTATCTATCCATCCATCCATCCATCCATCCATCCATCCATCCATCCACCCACCCACCCATCCATCCATCCATCTATCCATCTGTCTATCTGTATATGCATAAAATTCAGCCCAACAGCTAAGGATGAATTTCAGTGTAAAGGAGTGATGTATCTTGTTCCCTGGATTTTTAATTGTCATCTTTAAATTTTTGATTTTTGGTTTTATATCTAACATGAACAATAAATGAAACATAAAATGCTTATAAAAAGCACTACACTTAAAAGTAGTCACTTTCTATAAAGTGAGCTTGCATCTTTGTAGAATTTGTGCAAGTGAAGAACAGCAGAAAAAGCTTCCCATGGAAGCAGGCACAATCTTTTCTCTTAAGAACAAAGGACTTAGTTACCACACGTGCACTGCAGCAGTGACGCTGGCGTCTCAATATGCTCTCCTTTCGGGAGTTGATCTTGTCAAACGGTACAGTCAGACAGTGCAGGGAAACTCTACAGACTTTCACTCCAGAAATTAACAAGAGAGAACGCAAAGGGGCAAAAGCGGCACTAATATTTATCCATCAGTGCTAGGTCACACCAAGACAGTAAATGCTCCCCACTTCTGTGGCTTAGTAGTGCTTAGCACACAAATGGTTGCTTCTCAATAGAAATCTGACAGTAAAGGAAAACTAGCAACATTATCACGATAAAGCTAAAGTTTCAAATTTTGAGGATTAAATAACCACAGGAACTGGGCTAACAGTGCGTTTTCAGTGCCACAGTGACAACGCTTTAAATGTGCACTAAAGGAGCAGCTATTATTCTGCAATATTAAGCATTTTTTCTCATAAAAGTGTTTCATCTGTTGGGGCTTTCCCCAGGGATCATACATGTTTAAGTGCTTTCTTTTCTCTCTTTCCTTTTGCTCTCTCCTCTCTTGCTGCTTAAATCAGAAGGTGTCAAACCATTTGGAAGATTATCATAACAAAATGTTTTTAACAAAGTTTGATTTTAACAGAACTGGAGGCATCTTAGCAACTAACCCAAAACTTTGGGAGGTTCACCAACCTCTAGGATATTTTTTTTCTCCAAATGCAGGCTGTTAGAGTAGTGCGTTTCCCCATCTGTCATCAGGCCGTGCTCAGAATTACATTGTCATATTTAATGCAGAGGGGATCGCTCCCCTTTCAGAGTTTAAATGCAACATAGGACTGTAATTGGAAGACCAGTGTTTTCCTATTTTGTAAATTAAATTAAATATCACAAACTTACATGTGTATGTAGACAAAATTCCCTCTAAAAACCGAGGAGACACTCTGAGAGCTGAACAAACTCAGAGCTCAATGCTAAACTGAAAGCTACACTGAGAGCTTGGTAAGAAGTCTCCGAAGTGCTGAGTCTACTTCTCTGTCTGAATTCTTTCTGTGTATGTCTATGTATGTGCATATGTATGCACGCATGCATGTGCATGTGTGTGTGTGTTTTTTAATTCTGCAAACTCACTGTGCTTGCAACCTAGGGTCCTGTTTCAATTTTGAATGATCTATATGCTCACTGAAGTTTACAACAACGAGGAATGCACCACAGCACATATCTCATGATGAAAGCACTGCAATTAGAAACCTTGCTGCAGTGACGTGCTCATAATGTTCTGAAAGCAAGCAGTCCCAACCAATTTCATATCTAATCTTACAGCTCCTCCAGAAACACAGCCCTTAGTTTTGTATCAACTCCATCTCAGTCTGCTCTTAGTGTGTCTCTTCCTTTTGTCTTTTTCACCACTGACAGAATCTCATTATTTTCATAAATACATTTCCTCATGGTCTTCATTTCAATATTTTTTATTAGACATAGAATTAGTGGTGGCAGTGGTAGAAATATATCATTTGCTTCTACTGATAAGGAATCACTGGAACATTTGAGCACTGTAGACCAACGCTTTTGTAATATACCAGTGATTCCCTGCCACGCTCATCATTCACGAGTCTGGCTGTTTTGCTTGCCACATCTCCACTTTCAGTAATATGCCTGAAAGCTGTGTATGAATTGAATGACTAAGAATAACAACTGTTGGGAGCCTGTGGCAGAAAGCGGTGGGACGCACTGGGTGCTGAGTGCATAACGTGATTAGAGCATACCTGGTGAGGTGCAGTTGGCGCTCTGACTCGCCCAGCAGCTCTGTGACTTGCAGGCACTCCTGCCTGGCCCGAGCTGCCTTCTGCTGCTCCTGTTCCACGTGCTGTCTGCTTTCGCTCAGTTCCAGTCTCAACTTCTCTATTTCCTTAGGCAGACAGAGGAAGGAAAAAACTCATATCAAATATATACACTGGAACTCAAAACTAGCTACCTTTCATTTCTTACACAAATCAAAATACAATAAAAAATCATTAGAAAATATAGACTAGCTTAAGTTCTACAACAGAAAAATCACAACCACAAATTGACATAAATGAAGTAACTGTGGATTATGAGAAGTCTGATTTAAAACATGAAACAGATGAATGTAAATCCTGAAAATGATTAATATTGTACTTTCATGCAAAGGCTTGTTCTCTTTAAAGAGTAACGGCACTCCCTTTAAAATGTAATATATCATTATTTAAGACATATGATCAGACAAAGGCAGTGATATAGATCAATATATGACATTTGTACTTAAAAAGACAGACTTACAGTTTTATTTGGATGCCATAGAAGCCAAACTAAAGGTTCAAACAATTTGTTTTTAAGAAAATATGAAGTGCTAGTGAGGCATTAGCATGCTGCTTAATACTATTTATAAACAATTTAGGGACAGACTCAGCCTGAGTACATGAGACTTCGGTGCTTACATATCAGTGTCTGTACTGACAGGTGGGCAGAGCACGCCAACATCACCGGGCATGGACAGATGCACGTATGAACATACACAGTAGCTTATTACTGGGTTTGAGGAAGAAACTCCTTCTCTTACCAATACTCAAATGCTTCAAAACAAAAATAACTTATACTGTACATATTTTTGATAGTTTGTACATTAAAGTAAAAGTATTCATCACAGAACATCTATGACATGAAGCAAACTAAAGGAGCTGGACATGAACAAATTAAACTATAAAAACAGGAAAAACTAAAGGCATATTTTCAACTTCATACACAGTAAGCAGAAGCAAGTTTGCTATACAAATGCAGTATGCTTTCATGTCTGACCAGACACTTTAAGTGCAGTATTTACACAGGTTTAAAATGCTCTGCTGTCATTTACCAATATTCTGAGTGACCTCCAGCTACATTCCATTCATTAACTACGATAAAGCAGCTGGCTCATTTCTTTCTTATATTTATAATGCTATTTTCACTTTATCCTGTCAACATTGTACATTACAATAATATGATAAGGTAACTTGCAGTAAGTTCTTAAATATTATTTTATTTTTTTAAAAAATCCATAATTTATAGATACACTACTTTCATGCAGAGTAGGTTTTTATATATTTCAGATTGGAATACCAAAACAACCCTGATTTATTTCTTTAAAATATTTTAAGTTATTAAAGTTATGCTGACATTTTCACAATCTTACAATTAAATAGAGTTAAAGATGTGAACATAATAGGAAAGTCAGAAAGGTTTATTTACCTAGAGTTTATGAAATTAGGAAAGAGTAAGTCTAGAATTGGAGTTATGTGTTGGCATTAAAACTTCAAAACATCACTCAATATTTGCTTTTACATCATGCTATTTATAAAAATCTGTGCTAAATATGAACAACCCAGAGAACTCCCAGGTTTTCTGAATTCAGCAGGTAAGAATTCAATGTGGTAGTTGAGACACACACATGAAGACAACTAACATACAACATATACACACCCAAGGAAACAAATAAACAAAAAAGCAGCAAATGAGTTACAGAGAACACACATGCGTCATAAAGCATGGACAGATAGATTAGCATGGGCAGAAAAAGTAGAGACAATGTGAAGCCACCAAAACCCCATGGCTGAGAGACAGGATCACAGTGTCAGACACAGGGACTGTGGGTCATAATTTCTTATGGATGGCAGGAGACAATGGCTTAAACAGATATGCAATTTGAGAAGGTTAGTTTTTAAAACTGAATCAATGTGTATGATCAACTTTAGGTGGCAAAGAATGACAGATGAGAAACTCTGGACAGATAGCAGCAGCAATAGTCCAGACAGGAGAAGCAGAGAGACAGAAATATAAGAGAAAAATGGTGGGTTTGTAGAAAAAAGGAGATGTATCCAGTTGGGGAGATATTGTGGTGAATAATGTGTTTGTGATACAAACCTGAGGATGTGGGCTAGATTCCTAGACCCCACGGAAAAGCCAGGCCTGAAGGTGTCACCCAGTAACCTCAGAGCTTAGAGGACGGAGGGTTCTAGGAGTTTACTGACCAGCCAGTCAGTCTACTTTACAAGCTTTGGGTTTAGGAGAGACCCTGTCTCAGAGAATGAAGTGGGGGGCAATACAGCAAAATACCTGATATTGACCTCTGACCTAGACACCCCCCCCCACACACAAAACCAAATAGATACACTAGTGTATTTCTCTAAAAGGACAAAAAAGAGTGACACAAAGAAAACAAATCCCAAACTTCCTTTAAAAGAATAAATTCACTCTGTAAGCATTTCTCAACAACACATGTACTTTATACCATTTTAACTTGACAGCAGCTGTTTTGATATTCTCACATAGTAAAGTGGCTGCACTAAAATTCAGTCAACCTATAGCTAAGAACAGTTTCAAGAGCCCACACAATGAGAGCTTTAGCGCTCTCTGCCTCTGTGACCTTGGACAAGTCACTCAGCTCTCAGATACCTTCCAAAGTGAAAGTGATGACTGACTGGATCTATCTCATCAGACTACAGTGAAGACAGAAACAATGAGTTCAGCAAAGAATGACCTGGCTAAGGTCACATGTCTGTCCCTGAGCACTCCTGATTGAGGGCTGAGTGGCCAGCTCAAAGTGAAGCACCTGCCCAGAACATGTGAAGCCCTGGGTTCGAATCCCAGCACCACTAAACAACAAAGCAATTTAATCCAACAAATCTACCCTCTACTATAAAAGCACTATCTTGGTATAAAGCAAATAAAAATTTATCTATTCTAATTTCAAAATGCAAAATTCCTTTTTGTTAGGAAAATGGAAAACGGCAGCCTGCTTCTGATTATGTGTGCCAGCAAAGGAGCTCACTGGGACAGATAATCAAAACCAACAAATAATCTCACCAGCTGGATGGAGGTTCAACACTTAGCTCTCTGAGTCAGGAAAACCTGCCATGGCACCAACTCCAACAGTTAGAAGAGAAATCTCTTGCCAGAAATGCCATGCTCCCACTGGCAGGATAACCCTGCACCTCACCCAACTAGGTCAGGGCTGTTTCCTGGCTGCAGATTAGTGGCTCGGGGATGAAAGACCAATGGTGGTCATAGGCCAAATGTACATTCCTCTCAAAGTACACTATTAACCTGATGTCTGCAATGCAGTCTGACACAGCCATCTTTTGGCCAGCTGGGTTACAGGAGGTCCACATAGCTTTACACCTCACCAAAAGGCATACCTCAAATCAGAACCACCAGAGCTGCAAGTGGAGCTCACTGTAAAACACTAGCCTAGCCAAGCAATACCAGCCAGAGATACTATCCTCAGAAACAACGGAATAAAACAAAATAAAAACAAAATAATGACTACAGTAACCAGAAGGACAAAAAGCTGTTATGAATGGCTGTTTTGAACTTCTGGTTTTTGAGGTCACAGACCTTAGGGGAGAAGTCACTACTGTCATTCTGCTAAATTGGCACATTATCAAAGGTGTCTGGGCATTTTGCTTGTATGTTCATATGCATGCCATGTGAGTGCCCGGTACCTGCAGAGGAGAAAAGACATCCAGTCTCCTCCAACTGGAGTGGGGGCTGGGAACTAAGCTCATGTCCTCTCCAAGAGCACTAAGTGCTTCTAACCTCTGAGTCATCTCTGTAGCTTCTATATTCATATTTTAAATGGCATATTACTATTTCTTGATTTATAATATAAGAAATTAACTATCATCTCTTTACTAGGCAATATAGTGACTGGCATGTAGTTACAGCCTTAGCTTCTTAGAAAGCTGAGGCAGGAGGACCGCTCAAGTGTAGGAATTCTATGGCAGCCTACACATTATTCTAAAGATCCAACTCATACCCTCAGATAAGTTTAGTTACAAATCAATAGTTCATTACTGATACATTACTGTTTCATTACAATAGAAATTTTTTCCTCTACTGAGACAAGCATTATTTTTGAGTTAATTTTCTTCATTAATGTTTTATTATTTGCGGATTAACAGCCTAGTATTGTATATGGGGATCACTGTTTGCTTTTGGGTTTGGTTTGCTTTGCTGTGGAGGCTGGCCTCAAAAATCTAAGAAGCAAATGATCCTGTCTCTATAACATAAATACCAGGAAATACAAGTGTATCTCTTCACTCTGGTTGCACACTTAAAATAATTTATTCTTCTAAGTAACTGATATTTCTCCACAAGTATTAAACATTAATAGTCAAGTAGTCAACTAATAACATTTTCAAATTCTGAAAGATCAAAATATATTTTTTAACTAACTTCTGACCCTTTCAATCTGTTTTATATCAATTCTTTATGCCTTCCCTAATGCGCCTTAAGAGGTCCTTGTTGGTCAGGCATAGTAGTACATGTGTTTAATCTGAGCACTCTGTAAAGTCAAGGCCAGCAAGGCTCGCCTCCCCTCAATAGAATCCCTACTTTCCCTACGAAAGGAAACCTAAAAACACAAGTGTGTGTGTGTGTGTGTGTGTGTGTGTGTGTGT